TCAGTTTTCCATAGCATATGTTATAAAAATTTTTTTTATTTATAAAAAAATATTTCGGTTCTGATACTTCATTGATACTTAATCAGCAGTTCAACGCTGACAGTAGTTGAACTTTTTTTAACGAAATAAGTCTTGAGTTTGGAGTTGACATTATACAATAATTGTGTAATTGTAAATGAAATTTTATTTTTATAAAAGTGCTGTGCTATTTTTCACATTTCATACTATTTAAATTGGTTGGGTTTGGTTTGATTAAACTATTTTTTATTCACATCTTGTTTTGTTTTGTTTTGCTTTGTTATTAGTATTAAAATGAAGTTGCATTACCTTACCATTTCACATAATTGCAAAATCAGTTTGCACCCATTAAAAATTTACTTCACATACTTCACATACTTCACATGAGATCAAACGGATAGATTCAAAATCCCAGCTTATTGTTAACCGCATTACTACTAACTTGAAAATCGGTGATAGACCAACGAAAACACAGATCTCTTACAATATATCAATAGGTATATATGTGCAACATTTTTTCAAGAGCATGCATTTGAATTTTTTAAAAATTTTTATAAATTAATTTATTTATTTAGAGTTTCTTTAAATTAGTGTAGTTATAAAGTACTTTATATGTATAATTTGCTTAATTAAAGCCAAATATGTTTAATATATATTAAGGTACTGCAACACAAGTACGTCCAATGGAGGAGACCATGCCTGTGCAACAGAAAGCAGAGCCAGTGGATAATATGCTGGCTACACAAGTGCTGGCACAACAGCTGCCTACCAATAAGCATTATCCTGTACAACAGCCTACCAGCCGCTATAGATGGATCTCTATTTTCGTTATACTGTTTATGAGCTTTTTAATTCTTTTAAATGTGATATTGTTGCTAAAGCTTTGGAAACTGGAAGAACGTATTGATGATGATTTGAATAGTCGTGCACGTATGCCAAATCTTGCTGAATTGAAGTAAGCGAATACGCATTATAATACTCTCCATACCTAAACAATATAATAATATAAACAATATAATAATATAATAAATATGTTTAATTTATTCGTTTAGTCTTTATTAATTTTTTTATATTCTTAATTCGAATCATTTTGAATTTTCATTATCAAATCATATATTGATCAATAATTGCGTAAAGTAAAAAAGTAAATAAATACGTATATACCCACCGTTTGTTAGTGGTAAGAATAGCAATTGCCATTCTGGAAAATATGCCATTTATATCCTTTAATTCCGGTTTTGGGAAATAAATATCCAAGAAACGAACCTAAAAAAGAATTACAATGATTCGGGTTAAATATATTATTTTCATATTACTAAGTTACAATCAGACATATATCATATCATGATATCATAATATTAAACTCTCTTATAAAACAATGTGAGAAAGATATAATTAAATTTTAAAACTCATATTTTAAAAGAAGAGTTAAAAAATAATAATTATATATATATATATTTCAGAAATAAATATTATCATGTGCCTTTTATTTCACGACGCACAAATAACTCTTACATTCTGCTTTTTTATTTTAAAAAGCACAAATAACTGTTATTTTGGCCTAAAAAAATATAAAACGCAGGCATTACTTTTTATTTTTGAAAACAAAATATAACTCACACGGCGTGCCTGATATTTTTAAAAACGAAAAAATAAAACGCTTTTGTAATTTTGTAATACAAAATGTATTAAAGAGTTGATGCACGTAAAGAAAAACTTTTGCTTTTTGTTTTTGTTGTTGTTGTTGTTGTTGTTGTTGTTGTTGTTGTGGTGTTTTGTGTCTTTAATACATTTTGTATGAAATTACAAAAGCAACTACTTACATGCAAAATGTATTTTATATTATCGTTTTTAAAAATATCAGGCACGCCGTGTGAGTTATAAAACTTACGCCTGCGTTTTATATTTTTAAGACAAAAATAGCAGTTATTTGTGCGTTTTAAAATAAAAAAGGAGAATTTAAGAGTTATTTGTGCGTGAACAAAAAAAATGCATATTATTTATTGAATTTTATTTTAAAATGCGAATGATAAGAGTTATAAGGTGATATTTAGTTTTTAAAGGTTATAATTATAATTATGAAATGAATTCTAACCTACAAGTTAAATGTATAACAAAAATAAGCTTATCATAGAATATATTTTAATATAATTATTAGAAATATATATATTTATTTGTTTCATACTAAAGTGTATTATTAATTTTTTATAGGGAATTGCCAAATACTCCGCAAGATTGGATTGAATTGTTGCGCCAACAGGAAATTCTGCATGAAGCGGAACTCAAGAAATGGTACAAAGTATTGCAAACTGCCATTGATTTGTTGAAAAAGGTGAGCATTGTTTGTCAAACAATAACCAACGACGTCAAGCTAACACAACAAATAATAGAACTTAACGATGAGCTTTAGTTGTTTCAATAACAAAAATTAAACAAAAAAAAACGCAATTTCTGTAATTAAGCTTTATTTAAATTAAAATAATAATAAAGTTACTAACAGAAGATTAACTAAATAATGTAATAACAAATTTTTATAACTAATATTGTATTTAACTATATATATATATATATATAAAGATATATATGTTATAAATAAAGTTTATGTGTGATTAACTTTTGTGTCTGTTAAAGAGTTTTTATATGAAAAAAATTGCTTCCTGTGAAATTTGTGTTTATGTATGTATACAATATTTATATCTTTTTTTTTATGAACATTTTGCTATATGCTTCTTTTATATATACATTCAAAAATAAATGTATAATTATTTTTATTTTGATATGTACATTATAAGCTTCAAAGTCAAGCTTTTCATTTCTGTCAAAGTAATAATATATACACTTGATATAGAATAGAATTATATTTTGTAATAATTTTAAATTTAAAATTTTGACTAAGCATTTCATTCATTTCATATATAAATAACTGTATTGCTATTTACTTTCATTACCAATAATTAAATATTTGGTGTGCAATTCAGTATATAATTTACACATACACATGTAGAATGCTATTCCATTCCATATTCCATCACGTTAATATCTCAATCTAACATATAATGTGCTATAACATATAATGTGCTATAACATATAATGTGCTACTTTTAATTCAATATTTTTATTATTTTAAAATATACTTACTTTATGCACATAATCTACTTCGACGTCTCTTAATCACTTATCCGTAGTACCGTATCAACCATTGTGCCATATCATTGAATATTTTTCTAATCCGCGATACGTTTTGGATTAAGAAACTTTTGTCTATTTGACGTTTAATTATTATTCATTTTTTTTATAAATTTCATTTCATTTCATTTGAAATAATTTAACTCTTGGCACCATTTATCTATATTGTTGCGCCATTGTTTTTCATTACATATAACCGCGTATTCCACAAAAAATTAAATAAGATCTTACACACCTCAGGGTCTTATACAATACACCAACCTAAACATTTAAATATTAATACGTTTTAAATATATTAAGAAAGTGATTTAGATTTGCAGTTAATATTTTAAAAGCATGATATAACGACTGCATTGTCAATACCGTATAACATTTAAAATAAAAAAGATTTAATTTAACTACATTAATTTAATTAATTTTATGTGAAAAATATCAATTTAGGTCACATAATCCTTTCAACATTCGTTAACAAATCCATTAACTTTTTAGAAATAAATATTGCTTTAAACTGCTTTAAAGTAGTTTATTGTATTAAAAATTATCGTTATCGTTATCGTCTCTTAATAGCATAATTGAATTTTATGTTTATTACACAGCTTGCATATTATATGTATATTTTTTTAATTTTTATATATTGTATTATTTTTATTATAATTTTAGTTTTTATTATTGTATTAGCACAACGTGTCAATACTTAATTATAATTCAATACTTATATAATTTAAAATTTAAATTATGTTTCTCTAATATTTCTTTCTTATAAACATATATATATATATATGTATATAAATTCCTTGAACTCGTAGGAGGAACATAGGACCGCATTTCTTTATATTAAATTATATTTATTAATTAAATTTCAAGACTTCTACACCTCTACCCGAGCAATTTTCAATACTCTATATACATTCTCTCTCTCTCTCGCTCTCTCTCTCCAACTTTTCCTTTTATCCTAACTCATTCTTATATATATGTTCTTTAACTCATTTACATCCTTGCTTTCAATTCAACAACAACGTAATGTGAACTGATAGGACACGGCAAACATTTGAAATTAAGCAATATGTTTGACCTGGAATCATTTAATTCGATGATGTATGTCCTTTAGAACACTATTTAATTCAACGTCTAACTGCTTTTATAAGAGTTTTATGAGAGAGAGTTTTATAAGTATGTAAAAGTTTGTTTTCGTAAATACTTGGTATCTTTATATAGAACTTGTATACATTAATAATAATTTCAGTATATATAATTATTACATATGTAGGTATGTGTAATATAACTTCAATTGAATACGACATCAATTGAATATCTATGTTATGTTAATGTTTCTTATAGTATTAGAAGAGTATGTTAAGTATTGGAAAGCACATATATCGTATATACTGTTTAATATTATTACGAAACTAACTGATTTATCCATCTTCATCTATTTGCTAGTCTGTCCATATGTGTTAGTCTTTTATCACACAAACCAGTCCCTTAGTGTTGGAGGTAATCAATCGTCCCTTTACATAGAGATTTTAGATGAAAACCATACAAAATAATTGCTTAAAATAAATTTATTTTGACGTTGACTTATATTGTGAGTCCGACAAATAGTTTTTCTTCTTCTTGTGAGTAATTAAATCCTCAGCTGTGGGTACGATAATACTATAATTCATAATTGGTTCTTAGGCGCAAGCTTTGGTAATGTCAAACCTATTTTTTCCCCCAAATAATTTCTGTATTTTTTATATATATTTTTATCTATCTATCTTTTCTTTTTATTCATATTTCTTTTTGTCAGCACTATTTCATATACGTATTTCTTTTTGTTTTATTTATATTTCTATGTTTATCGCTAACTAGCTCTTATATATATTAACTTTCAAAATCATTTTACTAATTTATTTTGATGATTTTTAATTAATTTTTTTTATTAAAAATTTCACATTTCACATTTATTTTGATAATTTTTAATTAATTTTTTTTTATTTAAAATTTCACATTTATTTTGAAACATATCAAATATTAGAATATTTTTTATTGTCATTATTTAATATAAACTTTCTAGATATTTTGATAATAATTATATATTTTTTAATGAAATATTTTTTTATAAGAATTTTATATATTATTTTTTTATATATTTTTTCTAGACCACAAATTTATTTGTGATGTTTTTATTTTTAATATTAGTTTTTAAAGCGTATATATTTAAATATAATTGATTTTAATCTAATTAAGGTATTAATTATTATTAATTAGTTGATGTGTATATAAAAATGTTGGAATTTTCTTTTTTTGATTATGTTTGAAAATTTTTGTATTCAATTTTTATTTAATTAAGGTGGTTTCTCAGTTTAGAAAATCATAAATTTTAAGTATACTACCTAAGTATACTAAAAAACCTATGTTGAGTGCAACGTTTTCAATCGAAAGCATCCACTTTGTAAGGCTGATTAAATCTTAAAGGCACGTACGGAAAATATCATCGAAAACACTTTCCTCATTTTTTTAAAAAGTGTTCCCAAAGCCCAGTCTACATGAATGCATCCATATCTTAAAGACATCTTAGAGGAGATAGATCGATCTGTTTCTAACTGGGATTTATAATTTGCTCTCAGCACACTTATGCCTTGCTTATCTTTATGGGTAATTTTTCATATGAAAGATCTTTACGCTCTGTTGTTGTTGTTGTAGCTCACCGGGATCTGAAAAGCAGATAACATGTAAGGATTACAAAACGAATACAGGGGTAGGGGAGTGGGGATAATGGGAAGGATATAATTGAAATCAACCGGGGTTCAGCCGTAAAAATCTAGCTTCCTCAAGGGTATGAGTCCAAAGGTCGATTGAACTTAAATTAGTGTGTTCGGTGGGACTTCGGTGGGACAAGAGAACATCCCCCAAACGAGTCACACAAGCTTTACGCTCTCATTTTCTCTTTGTTTAAATGTATATGTTCGTTGTTTTATGATAAACATATAAGTGACAGTGGCAGTGCTTCGTTGTAGAGTGACTGGCAATCGAATGGACACATTTAATTTATTTTGAACGGCGTGGGACATCTATGTATAAGTTGTCTACGCTTAAGCATTCAAAAATATTTCTCTAAAAGAATGTTTTTTTAATTCAAAATAGTTTTGAATGTACAGCCTTTCTGCCAAACTATGTTAACTGAACACTTCAAACGTGTTTCTTTTGGAACTACTTTTTTCAAGCTTGAGAGTGGCAGGAGACGCTTGTGTTCATCGGAATAGATGATTGGCTGAACTTAGAACTTCAAGTTCTATTACGCCGATTACTGATTACCGATTATCGATTACCATAAAATAAAGTTCAAACAACTCGAAATGAATGCTTTGCGAAGCTTTATACACTAGTTTCAATCCTTTTTTTTTTTTCATTTATATGTTTTAAGCTTTTTTTTTAAATACTTGAACTGCATTTGGGTTTTATATTAGTTGAAACAATAAAATTGTATATTGAAAATAATTTTGCTATTGGTATTTTGTATAAAATAAACATATAATGTTTTAATTATTATTGAGAATATAAATTTTTTCAAACAACTACAAGATATATATTCCAATACTTTAATGTTTTGAAATTGGTTTGTTTGATATTGTATAAAATTTCTTGAACGTTAAAGTACTTATATACACATTTTCTAGAATAGTTAAACAAAAATTAATTTTACTTAGAAATATGCGCTTTTTCAAGTATTTTTAATATTTAATTATGTATTTTATTTTTTTTTTTAATTTTACTGACCACAGACAAAATACCTGCTTACTTTTTATCATTTCAGACTGAGAGAACTTTGGCTGAACTCATGTTTCGTTAACTTGATCATTTACATATTTACACAAAAACTGAAAATCCCAAAAGATATAAATGGTTGCTGTTTCGCTTATAAAATTTACTGCAAGTGACAACTACAAAAACAAAATTATTATAATATATAATAAACTATTATTCATTGTTGTATACGAGTATGAGTCTAAAATATGCTAAGAAGGCTCATTAGTTCATTCTTACCGGCATCACCGGCATCCTAAAATGGATGCGCATCCGTTCCTTTACAAGTAGTTAAATTTATGAAATTTATAAAATTTATAAAGCTTATAAAATTATAAATGAGAAACAAAATCATTAAAATCGTTAAAATCAAATCGTTGAAATTGTACGTGATGCTTAAGAAAAACTAATTTTAGCTTAATTATAATTCTTTTTGCTTATTTTTAATTTATGTTTATGTTAGTATAAAAATATTTATTCAATTTTGTCTGTATACTTTTACATATCTATATGTACACTCAACCTAGAATTGTTGCTGTCAAAGGATTTAATTTAGATTCGCTAAGAATTTAGTTGAATTTTGTTCAAATTGTTTTTCTCTGGCAATAAATATATTTAATTACATTTAGTTTATTAGTTTAAATTAATTTAATTTATTAACATTAATGCTTTATGGAATGTTAAATAATATAATTTTTATTCAACTTAATTGTTATCTCACTTATTTGTATGCATACATATATATATCTGAATTTTAATTTAGATACGTATCATACTTAGGCACCTGTTTAAAATGCTGAGATAATTTATAATAATATTCATTTATTTGTTTATAATTTGTTTGTTTTGTTTATAAATTTTAATCATTTTTAAAAATATCTATGTATTTTTAAAAAATTTTAATTCACACAATTTAATTATTTCTTTTAATTGTTCAATTATATATTTAAATTGCTTAACATTAATTATTTTTATTTGATTTTTAAACTATTTTCTATTAAGTGATTAAATGTGCTATTTTTCATAATTAAATTAATTTTTTAGATATTTTGTTGTATATTTCTAAAATTTATTTAATTTATCAGCTAAGATTTGATCAAACTCCAGTCAAAGTTTTTAATTATTTTTTTTTTTGTATAGTAAAATTTTAAATTCTTAAAGAAATATTACCAAAAATTCTATAAAATTGTTGCTTATAAAGCATTTTTTATATTATACATGTTTAGGATAAATGAATATTTATTTTTCAAATTATTTTAATTTAAAATGCCAATTGGTGGATTAAAATTAAATGCGAAACAAACTTAAATATATCAAAATAATGTTTAATATAATTTTATACAAATCTAAAGAGTAAATACTACACTTTGGGTGTTCTGTTAAAAACCTGGTTCTGTTTCTATGAATTCAATTTACAATTGAATTATGGAAATACCAAAAAAAAAAACATTAATTATAAATTTTAACATTATTTTGGAAAAATTTAAGTAAAATTTTGTATTAAAAAAAATAAAGAATAAAAAATTTATGAACACTCTTTAAACAACAGTAAAAATTACAGTCAAACTTCCATAACTCGAAATATCATTTTGCAAGGAAAATGTTCGACTTATGGTAACTTCGAGTTCAAGAAATGTATGTAACTTGATCTCTAAACCCTGTTGCACTCTATTTAGTTTGAGTTATAGAAATTCGACTGTATTTACAAGCTTCTAAGTGTTCTAAAATCACTTTTTCATGATACACTGCTAAATCCACCGATTTGTTCAAAAGTTAATAGCAATTATTAATTTATGTAAATAATTCCAAATTGTATAGTTTTTAGTAGAGGTTTTCAATTTATATTTACGATAGTTGTTAAATGCTTATCTCTTCTGTTAATTTGAACAAAATAGTTAACAGAAGAGTTTCTTTATATCATATATATATGTATATTACTGGTAAAAATATTATTGTTTACAATTATTTAGCAAAAACTAAGAATTGTGTAACATGCTACCAGTAAATTTATATAAAAAAATTGTATATAACAATATTATAATAATATTAAAAAAAAATTTACCAATTCATTTCTTCAACAAAAATCAAATTATAATATAATTGAGAAGTTTCGATACATTTAGGTAGATTTGTTTTTGTTTTTTAATTTTAATTAATTTAATTAAGAAACTATTTGAATTATATCTAAATAATTTTTTTTTTCTTATTGAATTTCTTAATAACATTAACTTGCGTTTATTGTATTATTCATTTATGATTTGATATATAAATGGTAAATGTTTTTTTTTTTGATTGCTATATATGTAATTTCAATTATCTAAAACTTATTTTATTATTTTAGTTAATATTGTACTTCAGTTATATTTATAATTTTAATTTTAAAACCGACAACATTTTTTATTGTGTTTTGTTTTATTTTATTTTGTTATCTCTTAACTGTGTTAGATTTATTATTATTATTTTTTTTTGTATTGTATTTCTATATTATTTTATTTGTTATATTCTTAAGGTATTGATCTAATTGGTGCTATTTTATTAACGTAATTATTTTTACTTTAATTAAAATAACATAATAAATTTATTTATATTATTCTGTATGTATTATAAACATATTAAATAATTTGGTTGAAAATATTGAAGAATACATTCTTAGTTTGTGTTTTATTATTCTATTTTTATTTATTGTCAGCATTATAAATATAATTTTACTATATTTTTTTTCACTCAATTTATTAATTATAATTCTATTTTATTATCTTACAATTATAATAAAGAATAATAGTATAATTACCTTAATTCTTAAATATAGAATGATATAAATATAGGACAACTTTTTCTCCTTCCTGATTAGTAGACAATTAATTATCTTTTATTTTCAACAATTATAGATATTAGCTTGTCTTCTTCTTCATGGTATATTTTTTATATGTTATGCTAAATACAATTTTTTTGTATTATTTTATTTTATTTTATTTTATTTTTCTTTTATTTATTTTAGAATTTAAGATTATAAGTATTTTATTTTTGTAAATTATGTTTTAAAAATATCGTCAGGAACCATAATTATTTTAATAAATTATCCAAACTATATTTATTTTTTTTTTCAATTGTATTGGTAATAGATAACTGTATTACATACATTACATAATTTAAAATGAATTATATATTTTTATTTTTTATTCTGTTAAAGTAGAAACTTCAATATAATAAAAATTCTGATCAATTCTTGTAGCTGTTTTCTATTTTAAATTTTAAAATATTTTGTACTGTTCAACTGGTTGAAACAAAAATATATTTATGAGATAATCAATGAATCAACCATTCACAAAGATGCTATATATAATAAGTTACAATGTAAGGAATACCATTTATTAATAATAAAACCTACACGAGCAGTTTAAGATTTAAACTTTAATAAATTTGTAAGGTAAAGTTAAAAAAATAAAACTTTTTTTTTAGAATTCTTGTCACAGTAAAGAACAGTTTTACTATTTTTAAAAATAATATTTTAATTTAATGCTTTTGGGAATTTTTGTTTTAAAAAATTCAAGTTGCTTTCTCTTTTAATAATGAAACATTGTTTTTATCTAAATATATTTTTATATATATGAAATAAGTTAATCATATTAGTATAATTCATAAAATGATTAATATACATATATTAAGATAAATTATTGTTATTATCTGACATTGTTTACAAATAAAATGTATTATTTTTATATTAGCAAAACTAAATATAAAGCATAAATAAATTTGCTTGTCCAATTGAAAATATTATATATCATTAAAAATCATAGAAGTCATAGAAGTTAGAAAAGCAAGTGAGAGCAAAATTTAACAAATTTATATATACTATAGCATAGAATTGTTCAAAGCGCATATATATAATTTATTATTGTAAGTTTCTCATAAGTTTTAATTTTTAATTAAGCAAAAGAAAAATGTTGGCTTGAAAATTGTTTGCAATAATCAAGGCAAACAATTAAATTTATATATTCATATATGTCAAATTATGTCTCTTGCAAAGATAAATTAAAAATAATAGAAAAAAAAGCAAATACAATTTGTGAAAGCTATGTTATTAAATAATTGAATAAAACGCATTCAACGCATTCAAAATTTGGGCGTTCGTTATAGAAAATAATAAAGATAAAGAAGTAAAATGCTAGAAAAAATTAATAAAATTGCACTATTGTAAAAATTTATTATTATTTTGATTTTCATTTCATTCATAAAATTAGAAATAGTAAACACTTGGACGCCATTAATTAGAAGCTGGAACCATTTTAATATAGTAAAATTTATTGGCCGACCACACAGCTATTTCATTAAATATATAATGAACTAATCTAGCGCCTATATAGCTGTTTTATTAAAATCTGAAACAATTGTATTATCAGCCAATATATATATATATATATATATACAAGCCAACTTTACTTTGATTACTTTATTGAAAATTGATTTTAGAAATTGAAACTGCCTTTTTAATACTTCATTTTCTGTTCGAAATAGGTTTCTTGTCATACGACATAAAAATTCCCAATTAATAATTTAATCGAGCAGTATAAATCTATATAAATCGGAAAGAAAATAATTTAATTTTATCTACTGAACTAGTAAACCAGTATAATCTAACTAAATATGGACAATATTGATAATAGGACCGATCATTATCTATAACAGTTTGTCAGGGTTTCAAACAAATCAACCGCAACAATTTCAGAGAATTACAGGACAATCACATTAGTAATGTGATGAAAATATTTTTTTAATGTTAGTATAATTGAATTAAGAAAGGGTTATGCAAATCGATGTTATTGAATTTAGGTAAAGGTATCAGGTATCCTGGTCTGGTTAAAATTTGTGCATTAGATAAGGTGGATAATATGGGTGTAGATAAAGGATGGCATTGGAGATCTAGATAAAGGATGACATTAGTATGTAATTTGGCTTTCTTATATATAGTAAAATTCTCCTAACTCGAATCGTCAAGGGGATGGCAAAAAGTTCGAGTTAGGAAAAATTTCAGTTATAGAGAAAATACTTTTTTTTTAGCAATTCCGTCGCTACTCCTGAAGATTTGCAATGCTATTTTTCATTTATATTGGCAAAGCCAATAAAATATTTTAAATTGTTAAAAAAATAACAATTGTTTGAAATAGATTTTTTATCAAGAAACCAGTTTGGAATATACGATATGATTGTGAAATCGCACCGGCACACCAAATTGACAGACAACTGAAATTGAAATCGGTTATTTTTATAGACAAAAACTGTGTAGATTCATTTGCATTTGTGGAAAATCATTCTTAAGAAAGCGTAATGAAAATAATTTAAGATGTTAGTAAACGCGGATGAATCTCTATCAACACATCCTAACAAGCGATTTTGTTTGGTTGAAGAGAAACAAAATAAAATTGCATGTATACATGTATATGTACTAAACAGGTGGCGCATCTGATTTCCCATAAGATCTAGTACAGTTTCTCGGTCGAGCCAGCCATCGCTGTTATCCTGAAGTACCGCAAGTCAACGTACAAATCTTGCCGTTCGTAATGAAATTGAATAATACAGATCAAGTGGTAGTGTTTGTGATGTTAGAAATACAACTCGTAAACGTGATAATGTACATGCGATGATATGAACCAACGTTAAGAAACTGTTAAGAACCTAAACTTTCTAATGCCACCGAACGGAATATTTCTTTTAAAAATTTGCATTTTAAATCAAATCAATCAAATTTTTGGACCAGCTTGCATTAAAACTGTTCAGACAGAGCTTCAAAGCAACTATAAACAGATCCATTTTTTTATATCATGAAAAGATCATCGATAAAGAACACTATCGATAAAGAAATTTTTTGGTTGGACACCATAGTATGAGTACTTCTATAGCCTGTCCATACATTATACATGTGGATTGTCTTATTTAAGAAACAAAAAAGTGTGAACATTTAAAATGGTTTAAAGTTTTCGTTACATTGGCCAAAAGCCTCATTTATTGTTATTTTTTTAATTAACATTTATATTATATAAATTTTATATATAAATTAAAAGCATCGATGCAAAAATATTAATTATATTAATTATTACAATAATTAATAATAATAAGAAACAAATTAATTAAATTAATGAACATTTTAAATGATAATTATCTATTAATACTGTTAATATAAAATACTTAAAACTAAATTGAACTCTTAAATAGGTGAGCTAAAAGTTCAGGTTCTGTTAAATCCATTTTATATTTTTGTACAATGTCTTGTACCTTTAGACGGCGGCGTACATGAGGCGGTTGATAGCTTTAAAGAAAATAAGTAGAAAATTATTTTGTAACTTTATAACTCAAAAATAATAAATACAATTAAAAACGTACTTATCGTTATCCAAACGCCTGCGTTTGGCCATATTGTGTGCAGTTTGACGCACCAAGGTTCCAACAACACGTCGACTCAGTACCATGCCATCAACTAATGGTGTAGCAAAACTCATACGTCCTGCCGGACCTTGTAGTTTGACGCGCAACAGACCCGATTGTAGAGCATGTAAAAATATCACGTGACAATCAGCGGCACGTGGTGGTTGTAATAATTGAGATTCTTCTCCAGTGCGGGTATACGGCAGTAAATCATCTATAAATGACAGAATGACAGAAATATTAATTTCATTAGCAACTTCATTAGATCTAACCAAAATTAGACCCCAATTGGAAGTGATAATGTATCTTAAAAAAATTCATACGCAACAAGGAATATACTCTATAGGTGAGCTTGACTAGTAGTGTAAGGTTCTAGCGGTTGTATAAACTTACCCGCCGCCGTCATATCGTCCTGGTTCGATTGTCATCACCGGACAAACTTCTCGGGGAATTTAACTAGGTAAAATAACTAATTCAACGCCCCCACAACACACACCAAAAGACAGATTCACTGCACTAATAAATACAAATAAGTTTTACTATTCTCAGTAACTGCAGTAGCATCTGTATTCCGTACCCAAACATTGCCCGTACCATTACTGGTGTTTTGCATGCTATCAGCTGAAGAGTTTGAAGAACAAAGCGACAAGCAACTACCATCTGTTTCATTGCGTAAATTCCATTCCGTAGGTACCACAAACGCTATTTCTGAAGACACGTCTGCCCAGTATAGTACACGCGTCTCACCATTAAATTTATAATCATTACTGTTCATTGGTGCAGTGTTTTTAAGCACTCTATCATTCTCTTTCTGCGTACTACCTTTCAAAGACCATGAATTATTAACGAATCCTGTCCAACCAGAATGTTCTTCAACTTCAACAGGCCAACCTAATGTTAGCAGCATATTTCCAAAATGTGGATCTAACGTACGCAGATTTTCATCGTACATATTTGCTATAATTGCCTGTGCTGTACTTTGACCCGCCTTCACATAGAATATGTGTACAGTGTCATGAGTACGAGCACTCAATTTATCAAGTATTCGAAGATTTTCAGCGAAACTGCTGCGCTTAGTGTCCAGTACGATAAGAGGTCGTTGCGTGGGTGTTCCCAATAACTCTGCTGGACTGTTAGGGTTGCGCTCTTCAAATGTTAGAAAACCAAAATGTGATAAAAACAAACGTGCAGCCTGAAACTCTTGGCACACTCCAGGTGGTACACATTCTTGTGCGTGTGACAAACTATCCGCACTATTGTCTGTTTCTGCCCAAGCGAGCTTCTCGTTAATTGTTTGATTTTCAAGCATAGTTTCAAGTTGACGTATTTGAGTAGCACCGTAAAGTTCACGTATCTGTTCCAATGTTGGTATGGAGTAATCTGCGACACATGGTGTAACTTTATCTACACCTTCGGGAAAGAATTTTTGATCAAATTCTATACGTTGTGGCATATCGTTCATAGGAATAGGACGACCTGGATTCACAGCGTGATATTTAGTGCCTGATTTACTTCGTGGCAAGTGACGCAATTGCATTGTCCAAGCATGACGTCCAAATGGGCCACGTATGAGCACTTGAAAAACAGATATTATTAGTTACGTATGCAAAATAATTTAAATTTGGAATATTTTATAAATGCATATTTATATATTAGTTCCTGGAAAAAAAGTAGACATCGGGAAATCTCTTATGTTTGTATCCTTCGTTATCACGAACACGCTTCAAATGCCTGAGGTTTCACAATGAGGAAGGTTAGAAAACGTCTCCGGCATAGAGCTTCCACAGATTGCTAAAAAGCGTCAACATCCTACATGATTTCAACTACAAATCTATGCATGTGCCTTGTTACATCTGATTAACGAAACCTAATCTAACCTATATTTTAGTTCAGACTTACGTATTAATTTTTATTAATTTATTTGTTTATTTTTTAATTTATTGATATATATTTTTGTTGTTATTGTTCTATTTTTTTATCTTTAAATGTGTTTTACAGATGATTATTCTTTATAATAAAACGCGACTAAGAATTTATATAGCAGATCTATATGAATATGATTGTGTTAAAATCATTTTTACATATAACTTACTTGTAACAGTTGGTTGTGGATCCTGATCATTACCGAGTGGTTCTTCCAATAGGGCTAAAATTGTTGAGTTTTCCGTAACAAAATACTTGAACTTGGATAAAGTTTGTTCAATTGTTGTGGTAGCAGCATCTATATTTGATAATGAATTACAATGTTTCATAAGCGCCACCTCATCTAAAAGTGATGATATCGATTCAGGACCACATTCGCTGGGAAAATAGCCCACTTGCTCTAAAATGATGGTCAATAGATTTTCAGCAGCATCACGTACTCGCATCGAAGCAGGTTTTAGCTCCTTTTCATCCTTAAATTTAGGCATATCGCCAGTTTTACTCACGCTCTTCGTGCCCGAGATGCCCAATTCGACTACTTCCAGCACAGTTTGCAGACAATCTTTGTCCTGCAGTAAATACGGATGCTGCATCAACCAAGCCGACGTACATTGAAATGCCGCCACAATCGTGCTGTGCAGATCCTTGCTGTGTGCTGGCGGTGGTCGTGAGCACTGATAGCATATGTAATCGCAGATCCACTTTACCGCCCGTTTGCACTCTAAAGCGTCTGTAGAAATGATCGTTAGATTTTGACTTGGTTCTTCAATTTTTACTAATAAGTCTAGGTGAATTTTGATATTGATATTTTTCGTTTTGTTTTTGTTTTTATTTTTATTTTTGTTTTTGTTTTTGTTTTTGTTTGAATTAAAATGTATTTGGTTTTTGATTTTAGTTGAGTTGAGTTGATTAAATGTGTTTGGTTTTGTTTTTAGTATTTACAAGTTTTGTGTGGAGCAGATATGTACAAAGAAAAAACATGAAAAAATTTTTTAATTAAATCCCATTTAACCCTGTTCCTTAAAACAATTCCAGTAAACATTTACCGAAGTAATGTCGCAGTTGTATGGATGTGTTGGACAGATTTAATGGAGTTGCCAATAATTTCATTGAGTATTTTAAACAAAACAATTATTGATAACGATAACGATAACAATTGATTTGTGTAATACTACGTTCAGACACACCTTCATTTCGAAAAAATCTTAATTTCATCTTCGTTTCAGCGAAATTAACTTATTTTTTCCATACAAAATTCAATTTTGAGGTTAGAACGAAATTAAGGAAAATGACCTTAATTTCATTAAAACGAAGGCTGAAATTAAGGGACATTTCAAATGCAACTATGTGTAAGATAAATTTTAAGCAAAAGATAAAGTTGAGATAACGAAGAAGTGGCACTTTTTTTAAATAAATGTCAGTGACAGTTTCCTTTAATAAAACCGGGAAAATATTTTGAAAGTAATGTAAATTTTTAAATTTGATTTATATTCTGTAAAAAAAACTGTAACTGTTATTCATTTAAAATAGAGTGAAAAATAATAATAAAAACTATTGAATGGCATCCTTTATAGCTATTAAAATCAACTTTTAAAATTTCCCAGATTTTCCTAATTTGGGGCAGTATGAACACTTTCGAAATTAACTTAATTTAATTTTTGCGAAATCAAGGAAATTTTACTGTCTGAACATAGTATAAGAAAGAAATAAAACAAACACCAAGACAAAACTAAAACAAATAAAGGAAAATATTTTTACCGTTTGTAAATTTCCTTGCTAAGTGGCGGTAAAAAATAAGAAAATTTTAATGTGCATTTTAATGTGAACAGAACAAAAGATGCAAAGCAAATCCCCCAAAGAAAGATCGTTAATAGAAAAAAAAAATAATAAATTTGATGAAAATGAAAAAAATGAAGAAAAAGTGGTTAAGCGACGAATATTCGCAACAGGATATATATTGCAGCGTTGTCGGAAAAGGAAAAATAAGAGAAAAGAATCAAAAATGCATAATTTATTAGTTAATTGACAATACAAAGAGAAAGCAAAATATCCTAAAAATTTAAGGATTAAATAAATCTTTGATATGAAATATATAAAATATAAATATGTAAAAAAAATTAGTAAGAGCAGGGTTTTTGGATGGCTGCATGGGTTAAATGAGTAACCAGTTGTACCAGTTATACCGATTCAATGGTTAAATGGTTAAAACAGTTTAATAGTAGACCTCAAATACTATATAATCGTTGGTCTTTATATAAATTCTTTATTCACACAAATTATAGAATCATTTCTAAGGTAATTTCACTGGGTGATTGCATAATATATACAACTACAGAGATCCCGAACTGTATAAAAGCTAAGAATTAATCAAGAATTAATAAGCATAATTATTTAAATTAGGTATTGTGCTTGATTTCCATCAAAGTCGGAGAAGAGATATTGAAAAGAAAACTAAGAAAGAAGCTTCGCTATGTCCGCAAAAAGACGTTAAGAAGACAATGTGAACTATCGACGACATATATGACCTACGCACTTACTTACATACACCGTACACGACCAACATCAGTATTATCATTACATACGGATCGCACGTTTGGTGGCAGGCTTTACAAAAAAATTTAAACAATTCCGTATTGGAAAGTACTAGTCTGGACTGGCTAGCCTGAAAATCTTAGAAGCCGCAAGCAATGCGCCTCAAAACCGCCTAAATATACCGCTATGAATATTTGTTCAGGATTGTGGCGTCAAATATTTAACTGATTTCTAAGGTGAAATCAGCTAAAAAAAAGTGGATCGTGGCCTGGACAATGCCAATTTTAAAACTAGAATTTCTACATTTATTCAGTCAGGAAAAATCGAAAGTTGATATATGTGACAAGTAGTTTTATAGTTACCATCTATAGAAATGTCTCAAAGATGGAGCAATAAAAACGGCACGGCAATTAAGTCCAGAACGATGATTTTTCAAATGAAAAAATCGTTTTTCCGTTCCATAAATAATAATGATTGTACTTGAAAACTATTCTTCAATAATAAACTATTCTTCAATAAGTGCTAATAAGTATCATTAGAGTACATGCCATAACCATTCCGCACCCGCTTATTAAATAAAAAAGCTCCTACACCCTTTGCTTTTCCAATATGAAAATCTGTACAAAACAAATTCAACAAATTTAAATGAATGAAGAAATCTTAATTTTTTTGATGAACTTCGGAACTTCGGAGCAACCGTGAAGCTGGAACAAAAGCTTACCTGAATCCCGTATAAGTAACCTTGCGAGACCAGAAAGTAATTCCAGAGCCGCCAAAGAGACATTCAAATCTGTTTTCCAAGATGATATCAGACGATGACAAACCAAATACGTTGCGCGCACAAATAAGGCGTGTGCATTATCTAAACAAAAATTATAGATTATTATTAGAAACTTTATCACTACACTCCAATTCAACAGACCCAGACATTGAGAATGCTTCGAGAACAAAAAACAGTTAAACATTAAAAATGCTTAGTAATTAACAAAGCAAAGGTTTATTAAATTAAAAAAGTTAAGCGTTTTTAGTTATGCATTTGAAACTTTAATCAAAAAAAAATAAAATTAAATTAAATTAAATAAAAATTTGTTATAAAATAATTTACCATAAACTGAAGCACTTTCGAACTCATGTAGCAATTCCATTGGGAACTCATCGGATATAGTTAAGCTAGGATAATCGTGCTGTGACGAATTATCACGTCCAATAGCTGCGGCTGCATTTGGGGAAGCGCCGGCAGGCAATGCGATACCGGCACTACCAGCAGCAGGCGCAACTGTGCCAGCTATGGTGCCGCTTGCCCCAACGCCTCCAGCGCCAATTGTTGCACTACTATGACCGCCTAGGCTTGAATTGCTCACACTGGCTAATGATTCGGAACGCTCTGAGCAAGCTGCAGTGCATTTGTTGAGTTTTGTTTCGTATTTCGTATTTTGTTTTTTGTTTTTTGGTTTTTGTTTTTTGTTTTTTGATTTTTGTTTTTTGTTTTTTGTTTTTTGTTTTTTGTTTTTAATGTAAATACGATATTGATTTTATTGTTTATCAATATCGTTTTATTTTGCAATATTAAAGCAGCAAAAGAAAAAGAAAAAATCACAAACGTTGGCGGAAATTATTTTTGAAATGGTGCAGCATTACAAGAAAAAATTGCATGGCAATTGTGGTTTTTATTTTTAATATGTAAATAAATGTATGTTTATATATGCACAATGTGATGCAGTGACGTATAACACATGAAAAAAAAAAATAAAAAAAAAATCAAATTAAAATATCGATATGCAATAAGAAAACAAATGCTTGAATAATATTTTAAAAATTCAATAACTTGCGAACGAAAAAATTTACATAAATATCGAAAATATTCTTAACTCGTCAAACTATAAGAACCACTGAACAAACAAAAGGATATGAAAGACAACTTCCATTTGAGCTGTCAGAGACGCACCTGAACTAAGTAGATGTGCTTCTCCATGCGGCGAAGCTGAATTTGTACGTAAATGCTCATTGCCGCCCAATTCGGTTTCTTCAAATGTGACAGAATCCTGTACAGCCAATAGCAAACCACCGAGAAGCATGTGCGTATTTTGTGCATCAGTTTCCACTTGCAAGGCGTTCATTAAAATATTGATTAGGCGTGGCTTTAGCTGTATAAAAGTAATGAACCTAGAATACCAAAGCAAACGAAATCATATTAAAAATTATTTTATTACAAAATTGATGGAACACACCTTTCGGTTGCCGTATTGCTTATATCTCTAATTGACAATGTCTGAAAATGTAATGGCAGCACCAAAATAGATAATAAAATATTAATTGAAGCACGCCTCAGCTCGGTTTTATTAAAGTGCATCGCCTGCGTTTTGATTTTCAAATCTTTATCTGGTAACACAATTTCCAATGATGCTATAAAACTCAATAGAAGCACTTGTATGCCATCTAAGTCCAAACGGAATAGATCTGATGAATTGAGTAAAATATTCGCCAACGATTCGTCACATTCTTTCGTCTCAGTAATTTTAAGGCATTGCTGCAAAGCCATGTAAAAACGAGCCAAATATACGGGCAGTATTTCTTCACCAGTTTTTTTGGCACAGAATATTTTGCATAATGTACCAATAGCCTCAGCGCGTCCGGATTCGTATTTATCAATTGTCAAAGTTGGCGGTAGGCTGCTCGGATCATTTAAAGAGTTTGGCTGCGAAAGCGATATACTGCCTTTTCGATTTTCCATAATCATCGAAGACGGTCGCTTACTGGCTTCCGTCGCTTGTTCTATTGACAAAAACAGTCATAATTATTCATTTATTAAGAGCGTTTCGAATAGTAGTGAACTACAACAACAAAAATTAGTTTTTATATTATTTTATTTAATTGAATTTTTGGCTGACCATACACCTGTTTCGGGTATTGCCAAATACCCATCATACCCATCATACCCATCATTAGTAGTCTTGGAATTAGTTTTTGTATTTAATTATTTGATAATAATTTTTTGAGACGGCAAGTACCTGGAATTAAACTCGTGCCCTGTCAAATTTGAAACTCAGAGTTAGTGTTCATTAGCCAACTGACACAAAGCCGTACTTGACTGTGAACGTTTATTAACAAATTCATTTGCTGAACGAAGTCATGATTAGAACGAAATCGTAAATCAGTTGATTATTTATTTATTGAATATAGGTAGGTAGGTTGAAGTGGCAGCCTTGTTTTCAAAAAGCCCACTTCAGCTCAAATGATGGCCTATTGTGGTACTACAAGAATAGCATTGGTACGTACATAGATTTAAATCAGTATACAGCCAACACTGAAAAAGATAACGACTGTCCCATTAGGTAAAGGAAAACCAACCTGACAGTTCCATACAATTGGTCAGGCTCCTAACATTACAGGATGACAGCTCAGCCAGATCGGTGAGAAAAGGGAATCCGAAGATTTTTAATCTTCTTCTAACTAAAGAAGGCTACTGACATCCTCATCTCTCATCTCATCCCCCTCTCATCCTCAGAGCCACAAAAATCATTATACCGTAGAGCCAGTCTCATATTTTTTCTTATTTCGCAGTGTCCCGTCAGCACAGATACCATGGTTCTGAGCAGGTTGTCTAAATTAGACCAAGTCAATCTAGATATCTGACAATGAGATTCATCAGCCCAGTTTTGCTTGGCTATGCTCAGGTACTTTTGTTTAATTACCAGTTTAACTATACCAAATGGAGCGTCTGCCTTGGCGAAGTCGTTTGCCCTACAATTATCCGAGATATCGAGCACTTGGCGGACACACCAAAAATTGGGGCATATAAGTGACAAGTACGCTATAGCTCCGTATTCCTGCCCTCAGTTAGATCTATGTATATATCTTCTGTCCTCAATTGGATAAAACAAGTTTTTCCTGCATATCTTCATATTGCATCCCTTAAGGTTTTAAACGGGGACCCGTGGTATCTTTAGTGCCATACAAACATGGTTTTAAAGAAGACCCAGGTTTTGTAAGTAGTGCAGTTATCACTCGTTTACATTTGGTCCCCCCTGTTACTAATTTCGTTGCAATTAATATTGATGTATTTCCGCTACAAAGAAAGGAATCGACATATACAACGTGGAGACAGAGCTATACTAATCGTGGCACCATAGCAATGTCTATCTATATGGCACGCAAAAGCATTTTCCTGGGATAGTAGCTTGAATGCAAGGAGAAATTGCCTATTTTTATTTTTAGTAATAAATTAACATAACTTTAGTAATATTATTACTACATTACTATATTACATTAAAGTATTACTTTGCAATCCTTTGGCTTTTGCAAACATTTTGCGTAGTTTTTGGGAATTTGAGTTAAAGAACCCAATATTTATTTACTCACTTCAATTAAATTACCAAAATTTCAGTTCATACTTTAAAAACGAAATAAACGAATAACCCACAGCGCATGTACTTACTTTTGGTATTCACGAGCCAAGCATCACCACCGATATGTGCTGCTTCAAAGAGCCATTCACCAAATAAATGTAGAATACTATTACATTTTGGACGTGCTGCAGCCAAATGAGGACGTTGTTCCATACCCAAAGAATGTAAAGCTGTTTACAATAAAAACAATCCATAATATAAATAATCCATACTTTAATTTAACTCACAAGTCAAACTGCTTGAGGAAGGTGGTCCAGATGGCGGAGTAAGGGGCGCCTGAGTTGTTGAAGAGCGCGAACTGGTCAAACCAATTAGTGCAGCTTTACTTAAGCCTGCAAACATTGTAAATAATTTGTGACTTAAATAAAAATTATATACAGTTTTATTTAAAAATTAGACATTCATTTGGCACAACAACAACAAAATTAATAATTGAAATAATTAAAACAATTGAAATTATTTTAGATAAAAATATTTTAGATAAAGCAAAATATAATTGAGGGGCGTTTACCGCATTTGAAGAATAATCATTCATAATTGTTTAGCTCATTAGGGTAAAAATATTTTAAAATTTATAATTTGATTTGAGAGTTTTTAGTTACAAATAAGACATTTGTGTTTATTTACAAAAATTTAAAAGATTTGTGTATGTAAAAAATTAACAAAATTAATTTAAAATATAAAATTTTAATTAAATAAAGTTTGTATTAATTGTAGTCACAATTCTTTGTACATAAAATATATACATAATATATAATTAATTAATGCAGTATTATAATATAAGATTTAAAGATAGCTTTAGATATAAAACAAATACTCAAACAATATAAAATTAATTTAAAGTGTTTCAAATTATTTACAATCTGTGCTTAATAAATTAGAACTGTGAAAAATATTAGCATCGCTAACGACCTGTCGAAACAGCGTATCAAGAAGTATCAAGAAGAATTGAGGACGTCAAAGGTAAACCTTGACTTTAATAACCTCAGCATCCAAGGATAATGATCATTTCAAACTATTCGACTTGTGCATATTTTCCAACTCTGAGATGGTCTTACGGATGACGTATCTCAACTTACGAATTTGTAAAACTTGGATGCTCTCACTATTTACGCTTTTCGAGAGGTTGCAAACGAACCTTTTTATGTGTTGTTCTTAGTGGATTAAAACAATAACTTTTAATTTACAACATAATTAAAATTTACAGAATCAATTAAAATTAAGTTGAATAAATTAACAAATATCATTCCATTTCATTGCTTGAATATTAATAATTATTATAATAATTAAAACTAAAATTAAATTAACTACAATCCACGACTTGGATTGATCTTGGTCTGGTAAAGAGAGTTCAAAAACTCTCTGGATAAATAAAATACATATATGATTATATAGAGACGTGAGAAATGCGAAATACGATATGCGGAACTCAGTGTAATACACACGACTGACTAATTTTGAAGTAATAAGGAAATGGGTAGAATAATATTAATCTATTATAAACATGAAATCTCTTAAGGTGAGTCCCTGATCCGTATTTAATAATAATTAAATGAATAAAATAAAATTTCTTACAACTTTAAAAACATTTATTATCGGTATACATTAAATTAAAGGGACCTGGTGATCTGGTGATGTAAATAGCTAGATTTTAAAAGAGTTCTATACTCTCTACAAGCATACTTGACCTTAAAATCAAGATCAAGTTTTATTTTTTAAGATTTGAACTTTTATTTCGATCGTATTTTTTGTACATTCCTATACACACTTCGGCAAATTCGCTTTTGCCTTCATTCTCCTAATGAAAGTTCCAAATATTAGGACGTAACAACTCAAAAAAAATATAAAGAAAATTATAGTTGATCTGCTGACGCAGATAGATAGATAGATAAATATGTCTTTAAAGAGTTAGACACTCATTGCAAGCAAAGTTTGTCTAGTGCTGCGGATAGAAAAGTAGATATATTGACTAAAACAATTCTGTACTCTGCAAACACAATCTGGTCTGTGAAGATAAACAAGTAAATACGAATTAAAATGTTATAGATTTTCTGTGATCATAGTTGGTGTTGTGGTTATCTAAAAGTAAGGAGATTGATAAAAAGTAAGGAGTTTATTTACGCTCTATGGACGTAAATGATCTGCGGCTCGTTTAGTTACTCGAAGTATTTGTCAAAAGTGAGGAAAATCGTTCGAGAAAACGAAGTGAGAAAGTTACATAAACGAGCCGCTGATAATACGATACCGAAAACGTAGGTTCTTAGGTACTTTATAATGCAGGTAATAACAACAATTTATGATTCTAAATTGAACGTTGAGGAATTTGAAGTCCATCACAACATTCAAATTCAAGTTGAGCATTCTTTCTTAAAAAATCTAATAGAAAGAACTGCTAATCATAATTTTGGACATAAATTAAAGATTTTTATTTGAAAAGAGAGAGAGAGAGAGAAAGAGAGAGAGAAAGAGAGAGAGAAAGAGAGAGAGAAAGAGAGTAAAGTTCAATATTGTGATAAAACTTAATTAGGGAAACATTTAAATGCATAAACATATGAACAATGCACATATATGTATATATACAAGTAGTATATATGGTAATAGAAAAAAATAGTTAAAGGATAATAACAAATAGAAAAACAAAAAAAATTGATTTCAGATATTTCTTAAGCAAAATAGCGATTAAAAACATTCAATAAACGAAAGACAATTATAATTTATAAAAAAAAATGTATAACAAATTGACGCCCACCCTTCTGTTGTGTCACTGTCGGTGCCACACTGAAACTTTTTGCCAAGCGACGCTGAAGTGGCGGTGTTGGTGAATATGTGGACAATTGTGATTGCGTCTGACCATCCCCCACTGACGTAACACTTCCGCTGGAGCTGTTTGCGTTTGTATTAAGCGGCGTACCAAATGAAATAGAACCAACTACTCCAGCAGATTGACTGCCACTACTGCTTGTGCTACCAACGGCCGTACTAGTTGAATGGTGACTACCACCAGCTGCACTACTACCACCGATATTCGATGGAGTAGAGGCATTCCCATGATTCTGTTGTAGTTGTTGCTGGTGGTGATGATGGTGGTGATGATGCCCCATTAATGCATTAAATGCTGAACTTGCTGAGCCACTTATGAAATTGTCTCGTAAAAAGTGACCAGCACCATGTAAATGTAAGTGTGGATGATAATGATGATGATGTTGTTGCTGTGCAGATGTCACTGCTGTTGTACTGTTCATACTAACACCATTGTTGGAGTTATTTAAAGAAAAATTTAAAGCACTTATGCTGCCATAATGAAAGAAATGATGAGACGATGAGGATGTTGTAGCTTCATTAAGCGACAAACGTATGTCGAGCAAATTCGTGAGTACATCCTCTGGTTGATGTGGAGGTGGTTGATATATGCCTTCAGAAGTCAATGTTGTGTGATATTTTCATGTTGTTTTTTATTATTTAAATACGGGAAGGAATTACATTTACAAAAAGGATTACTTAAAATATATATATTATTTTTACTTTATATAAATATTCATGTACATATTAACCGATTGAAAATACATATATAGGTATTTATATACTGAGGTAGCTAGCTAGGAATTGGCTTTATTTAAGATATTATAATGTATATTATTAAGATATATATTTAGAAAGGTCCTACAGATAATTTTCACTAGTATTCAAACATAATTATACGTCAAAGCAAAAGGGGGGAATAAAACTTGTAAAACCATATCATTTAAAGACCATAACATAAAACATAATCAAAGACAGGCAAAGATTACGTGGACCCATACAGCAAATTACTTGCATACTTCTGTTCCCTTTTTGTTTTACGTAGCGTACAACTAAACTTATAAATATTTGTAAACAATATCAAAAACTCTAAACGTTACTCGTTTAGATAGACTGGTTATGTTATGAAACCAGAACCAGAACAGTTCCCCAGTACTAATAAAATAATGCAATATAATACAAATATTAAACGAGAAGTTGAAAGCGGACTTACCCAACTCATCATATTTTACACTAAAATCAATGAACTTTGTCCGAGTTCCAAATAAATTTAGAATGATATGTTAGCTGATCAAATTTAGGAAAATCATTTTTGTACATATTTCCGAATTATGAATAACTCTTAACTCTAACAGCCCAGTAACTATATTTGTGATACCAAAAAATTATTAAAACCTCACTTATCAATTTTAATGATGTAGCAAAAAGTTCAGGTTTAGTGCAAGTACAAATTATTTGTACTATGCGATCTGGTTTCCAATAAATATTTAAACAGTTGATTGGGGAATCCAATCGTTTGTCTATTGTTGTAGTACCTAATGAATATCAGCTAACAGCTAACATGAAAGGAATTACAACACATGGATTAGTCCCATCCAATAAGTTGACCCATACCATTCAATAATAGTATAATCAGCAGAACATGGTTCCAGGAATCGAGTACTGTTAAAACCATTAAACCATATATATATTAAAACCATATATATATATATTTAATATATATTTCAAATCATATAATGTCAAACTATTTAAACATATATCTTTTATATACTATATACTCTTATATATTAACCACAATATACAATAATGATACAACACAACATAATCAATATATAACAATATAAATTTATAAATATAAAAGTTTTCCAATATGTAGAGTTAAATATTAAGAGAACTAATTTTAAAGTAAATAATTATTTATGTACTTATAACTCAAAAAAGTGAATACTATGGTTCTTTAAATTAATGCTTGTCTACCTTTTAATGGAATTTAAAGATTCTTTGTATACACCAAGACTTTATTTTGCTAATATAATAACAACAGATGGAGTAATTTTATAGAGTAACTCACCAAGAAATGCATCAACTTGGCTAGATATGCCTTTGATAGCTTTTAAAAATATTTGTGGCAATGCCTGCAGACAAGGATGTTGATAAGTTTCGGCCCCTTTGTCATGCGTCAGAGCCCATTGCACAAAATGTGACGACTTGCTTATAATATGTGGTGAGCATAGTGCTGTAGGATTACCGATGGTTCGCAAAAACCGATACCAGGTTTGTGCAACACAATCATTTGACATGCCTGCTGGTATTAGCTGTGCATCCTCATCAGCTTATGTGTAAAAAGTAAGAATTAAATAAAATTTTTATTAATATGTATTATTATTTATACACACAAATTTTCAATTCAGGAAATGCAGCTCCATATGTGAATTCTAATAATCGGGCGGTTAATGCTAAATTCACCCTATTCCATTGATCGATCAGCGCAATACGATGACGCCATAAAGCACAAGATTCTTGTAGAGTTTTCCACAGTGAAGGTGATGGATAGCAACGTACGCAAGCTAATAACCAGACTTCAAAGAGCACGGAGAGAACACGTTCACATAATTGATCGCCAACATCATCTTTGATAGTTGGCGGTGCAAGCAGTATTTCATTGATCGCTAACAAAAACAAAAGCAATGCTTCCCAAGTATTACGATCCATAGTCTGCGAAATTTGCGCGGTCTGCTGTAGCGTACGCAAGACCCGGTGACATAGCACAGCCTGTCGATTAATAGTATCAGCACCTGTAACAAAATCCGTTTTAGTGAAAAACAATCCATATATTTTGTTTTTAAATTACGTTAATACAAGCACATACCAAGCGATGTTTGATATAAAAATGGCAAGACTTGAAATTGAAAGGTAATAGGAAATTGTTGTGAATATACAAAATAGTTGAGATCAACTCTTCGAGCGTTTAATTCTATTTATAGATTTATAGGCGATTTTTTGTATTGTTTATAATGAACTTACTTTCGCCTTGTCTGGGCACGAATAAATTATGGAAATGACTTATGATTTTACGGCAGTACATGTTCGCATCTTCACAAATTGGCTTTGGCACACTTATACGTGGTTGCGGGTGCAATGCGGTTAACCATTCGCAATAAACATTAACGCAATCCTTTATTGTTTCATGCTCTTGCAATGGTAATGATAGACCAAAACATATGACATCCATGCACCAATTAACCTACATATCGAATAATAACAAATTGATTTCAAAAATTCCATATGTTCAAATTTTATCGAGATATTCACCTCCTCATCCTTAACCAAATGGCTTGGCTCCGCATTTTGTGTTATGCCTAAATTATTTGCCAGTTGTCTAACCACAGACACTGCCACTTCACGACCAGCAGATGCGGGAAACTTATTCAAGACGCTGTAGCATTGCGCACCACAGCTGTTCGCCGTAATTTGTGCCGAGAGGGAAACCCACTCGGAGTACATTTTGCCTTTGCGTTTATCAATTTTGTTTTTATTTTTATAAATACGAAAAGTTAACTTCAACAGTACAACAGTACAACAGTTATCACAATTATAAGTTTACTTCACAACCGAAATTTCTAATTAATTTCTATATAAAACACAAGAAAATCGTTAAATCGTTAAATCGCTAAATCCCAAAATTAAACAATTAAATAAAAAAACAATGCAAAAACAACAACAACACACGTCAACAAATTTTCTCCATTGTCTGTCGTTGCGGCTGGACTTTCGCAAGCACTTGGTTTCTTGTTATTTTTATATATTTTAGAGCATTCAATTTTATGTTTTATTTTATGTACCACTCTACCTAAGTCAACTACATATTCCAAATGGCGTTATATATGTACATATTAACTAATAGTATTTATACATAATTTTGCATGTTTTCGGAAAAATTTTCAGCACAGAATTTGGAATTGTTATGATTTTGGGTGAAAAAATCTTCGACACTCAATAAGCGAATGTCAAATTCTCAGATGCAGAGTTGTATTCGCAGAATAAAAATCATATTTTTGGGCATGATTTCAGTTTCAGGTTATACAACTTCCCATATGACAACATAACTCTCCAGACTCTCCAGATTCTCCAGATTAGACAAACAACAATTAACAACAAATACACACACACCAGAGCGCGCAAATAATTGTTCCCAGTTGGTTTCTTATATGAAAAAGCTAAATATCGACAATACTAATAAGATCTACAAAACTGTATTCAAGTCTGTATTTCAGTCGCAAGTATTCTTGCAATACAAATCAATAAAATTAATTACAGCTGTTATTGTTTTAAATATGAAAACAATGAATATAAACGAGATTTGAACTTTTGGATTATAGACTAGGACCGTGGACAAATGTACATATGTACAGTCAGAAATGAGAAACCTTTTGCTTCATACTGTATGTCATGTGAACCGTTAAGTGAAATATCTTCATAATAGAGGTAAAAAGAAAAAGGTAGTCACAAAGTACCCTTCGTTAAAACGTATTAAGACGTTCTGTTTGAGCAAAAGTATTTTCAAACAAGAGCAGGTTTGCTCTCCCCAATAAACAGATTGTATAGTCGTTAAGCATACTTTTAAAGTTTACAAGATCAAATGGCATTAAATATTATAAATATTTCATAACCTTCAGTTTCGTGAGGCCATACTGATAACCACCAATAAAGGCATTTTGTGGTGTTGATTCTTAGCATTGTAATATCTTGAGAGGAAGTTAAAATGGAACTATAGTCATATATCTATACTCATAAAATTAATCATATCAGCAAGTGCATTGTTTCGGTATATTACCCAAGATCAACTCTCCACCCTTTTTATGGTCAATTTCTATGTAAGACAGTATACTATACTAAAAACCTAACCAACAACAATTCAACAAGGATTTAAAAATACCAATGTCTACCATACGTAACATACACACGAAGCGTATAGTATGCATATCTGTTTAATATTTATCCTTTTTCGAACTTTGTAAAGCTAATCTCCCAGAAAAAAAATTTTATTTGCTGGTGCACTATTATATTAGTTCGTAAACTGCAAAACTTTATTGTTACCGTCGCACTCCAAGGGACCACACAATTGCAATATCTTCTTCAAGACACAGGTTGTCAGACAACAAGACAACAAACAGCCGAATGCTAAACAGTGACTTATCAGACATAAACACGTCCATCTCCAATATGTGCCCTAACTGCAGCTCTCCTCCCCATGACGTTGCCCATCTGTTCGCCTGTCCTTCTGCTCACACTAACCTTCGTCCAATTAACCTTTGGACTCGTCCTATTGAATTGTTCAATATAAGCCTACCACCCAATCCCACCCTCCACATCTTCCTTCCTCCCCCTTCATCTCCTCTAACCTTTAGCTTTACCCACTTCCCTACTCATGTGATCGTCTTGTGTATCCTTTCATGTTATCTGCTTACAGGTCCCAGCGGGTTACAACAACAACAACAACAATAATAATAATAACAGCAACAACATGGGACCAGTTTGAGAGACACTGATTTATGTCTCAAGGTACATCCTTTAACATGATACTGAATGTGAATGCGAATGTGAAGGAAAATGTTACTTATGTTTTGTCACTGCCAGAACGCATCTAATTAGATTAAGAATATCCGCACTCAAATTTCTTGCACTCAGCCAGTCAAGTCAAGTCAGGCAGTGTATTTAACCAATAGTTATTAGTGGTATGACAACGAGAATGAAATGAGTTCACATTTCATGAGTCAAGCTATCACTAGAATCTAGTTATCTATAAATCTAAGACAAATATTATACTAGATAACTAAGTGAGTAGTGAGTAGTGAAAAGTGAGTAGCGATTATCGTTATTTTAATTTTATTATATTTGATCAAGACCTCAACTGATTTCTAATGTTGAAAAAACTTTTTCCCCAACTACGAACTTAAAAATAAAAGCTATTCGTTTCATAAGGATTTTATGATATTTAAATCATAATTTTTATTGTATAAACGATATCAAGTTTTGATTAAAACAAATGCAGATAATGTACAATCTTTTCTTTTGTCTTTTGTTTCTATATTGATAAGATTAAGATTCCAGGCTTTGTCAAGAGTTACATATTTACATACACATTTATCATCGTTTATTTGATTAATTATTTATTTTAGCTTGTGCTAAAACTATGCACATTAATTATACTAAGGAAATTTGGCAACAAAAAATTTAACTAAAATAAAACTTAATTTAAATTATTTTAATATTTAATTTTAACAAAATTAAAATTAAAAACATTGTTCTATTTAAAAAGTGAAGAAAAAGAAGAGGTAGAAAAAATGCAAATTACAAAAAAAAATTTATAATTGTAAACTATTACAATTGCAATAAATATTGAAGACTTAATTAAATGAATTAAATGATTTGATTTAATCGGTCTTCTTTTGTTCAGCGGGTTTGTCTTGAACAGTGTCTGAAGCTGAAGCTGCAGCTGCACTTGCGTCATTTTCAGTTATTGCAGCAGTGGCAGTACCAGAAGCGGCGCTGGCGCTGGCGGTGGCATTAAGTAACTTTTTCTTTGAAGCTTCCTGTTCCATCTCACCAGAGAAACCAAATTCATTTACACGCTTAAGATCGACACGATATTGCCAGCGTTGATACAGGAATACAAAGAAAATGATGTCATCACGGAAGCAACCGAAACGATACATTGTTGGCATTTTGATGACAAAAGCAAAGATATCATCAATGAATGTATTTAAGCATTTATAGGTCATCATACGCCAGGGCATATGTGCCACTGATTTTAGTTTATAATTGATGAATAGCTGTGGTGTCATCATGATGAAACCAAATGTTAATAAATACCCGTACAGCATGTTCAGTACGAAAGAGTACCAGCCCTTGTGTTCATTATAAACTAATGAATAAACGAAATAACCAACTAGCAGTGGAAAGCATACCCAGCCCAGATACTTAAACGCTAGATTATCATATTCTTTTGTTTGGCTCTCTGAATAAGAGCCTTTATCCTTAAAGCTGATCTTAGGCAATATACCGAGTATTTTCTCAGCGTTATTGTAGTTGATATCAACAACTTTGTGTATTTTCCAGATTTCAATGCCAAGACCAACGAAGCATGAAACACGAATCATGAAGTTAGCTTCATTATCCAGTACGTACAAAAACACAATTAGCGATTGGAATACGCCAAAGAACACAGAACGCACGGACAGACCCTCTAGAGTCTGACGATTATTCCAAAATTGTATGTCATTTTTAAAAGCCAACATTTCAAATACTGAATGTAAAATCGAAACGCCAATAGTTAAAGCGAGTAGATATATATTTGTGTCCAATAGAGTTTCCTTCAACGAGTCCTGTTCGTCATCTGAAGCCTGTAAGTACGAAATATTAATATGTTTATTTAAACATATCATACACAATATTATTTTGTGTATATAATAGGAAATGTGACTGTAGTTATATTTTTTTACTAATATTTAAATAAAAAATAAATCAATAAAAAATGTTGAGGGTCCCAAATAAACAGAAAAATAAATAAACATTTCTCATTGTTCAATAATTTCCTCAGAAATTATTATCAATAAATGTGTTCAACGTTTGAAAGTTGTGAGGCTGAAGACACACTGAAAACACACCGGTGTTTGATATCACTGACCAGTTACTCATTTACTCATTTGAGTAAATGCAAATGAGGTGATAGTTTATTAGATGGACGTTATTAATAGATGGGCACATGTGCGGGAAATAATTGTTTAGCACGTGGATTTATAGTTTATTTTAAGTTGAACCTACGCAGTTATTGCTGTACGGAGAAATAGTCCGTCTTTCTGACAAATGTTAGAGTAAGACTTGTATCTGTTATCAGATACACTGCAAACAGTTTAAATATATATATAATAATATATGTTGAGGCTAGTTGAGTTGAGTCAGTGCACCTGAGCACTTTTACTCTCTATTAACTGCGAGGTTTCTACAAAACCCCTCTTTGCGCCTTGACTGGATTATTGTTTATCACTTCATTAGACTAGGCAATTAATTAGACTAGGTCAATTAACCTCAGATCTGCATATCTCCCCGAGGAGCCTGTAACCATTCTGAGATTTGATAACGCGGTGTTAGTAAATCTGTCATAATGGGCAGTTAATCTTTGTCGATATTACTCTCGTTGCGCTTGTTGTCGATATATTCAAAATAAAGAGTTATGCTGACAGCACAGGATATGATTCCAATTTATTTCGCAGAATTGAGAAGTTTCATATCAGAGCTACATCACCGAAGTATATTACCCTATTGCTTTGTTGAGCACATACCAAGCTCCAAGAATATTGCGACCAATCATTTAAGAATATATACGAATATCAGCATAATATATAACGGCACCCAGGGTGTTTGTTGATTACGATGATTCTAACTTCACAATTTTAAATGGCCGAAGCCAAGAATACCCTTTTAATGCAGAAAGTTAAGAAAATGATTGAGGATTTAGTGCGCGATAGTGGGGAATTTATATCTCCAAAGAATCTATTCAATTGAAAGAGTTATGCATCCTCATTTTGTAAATAATTTGTAAGGTTGTAGCATAAAATTTTAACCCGTTAATTATATTAAATATTTAGAAGGTTTCAAGCCAACCAAGTCAACCTAGATACCTGACAATGAAGTTCATCAGCCCAGTATTGCTTGGCTATTCCTAGGTATTTTTGTTTAATTGCCAATTTAACTGTAGCAAGTGGAACGCATATATCTGAGAAGTTAATGTTAGGGAGAAGAGCACCTGTCTTGACGAGGTAATCTGCCATACAATTACCCGAGATACCCCTGTGACCAGAAACCTAAATGAGTTGTTGGTATGTAACAATGAATGAAAACTGAATCCAATGCTATACACCGGAGTGAAAAAAAAAATTCATTGTATAAAGAGAGAAATCTGCGAAGCTCATCCAAAAACGTAGATATCGATTAGTGAGGTTATGGCGGTTTCTGTACTTCAATACTATTACTTTGATAATATAGAAATCATTACCAGTAAATGTTAAAGTTATTGGTACATCTGAAAACGGTTTTACACACAGAAGACAGAAGTTCTCTTCCCTTAGAGCATGCATCAAAATACAAATACTTGTTTGCGATGGCTAAATTGCATGAATTGTAATACGAACTTCCACCTCGTTAACCACAGGTGGAACGGATTTGGAGAATTATAAATTTTCAAAAACATGATCTAAAAACGGAAAGGGATTTTATTCCGATTAAGTAATTATATCCAAAACAATGACTTGTTTTTAAGAGTCAAATTAAGTCTTCTACACGAAATGTATAGAAATGTATACATACGATGAAAGCAATGAAATAAATGTATTGTTAGAAATTATATCCATATTAACGAATAGGTTAATTTTTGTACAAAAAAAAAATATTTGTTAGCAGTCAGTCTTAAACTTAGTGTATGATGGGTTATATACCAACAGTTGTATTAACACTATAAACAAATTACAACTTATAAAACAAATAGTATATATATTACCTCCATGCCACCACCACTGATGAGATCACCAAACATGTTGCCAGCCCATTTATTCTTCATTTGTTGTGCTGCGTATAGTTGCCATTTGAAAAAGGTTAAAGGTTGGAAAGTAATATGCAAGTCAAGTTCTGGTGTTGTTTCATTGATGGGGAAGTAATCACGCTGTAGGTTCCAATAATCGTTAACAAAGACAATAGGTAAATAAACTTTACCAAATTCAGCAAACTTTACAGACTCATCAAGCGGTGGTGGTACACTGCCTGCAGACCAAGTAGTTTGATCCACCACAATATTAACAGTAATATTTGGATGCCAGTACGATATTATTTGGTCTTTCTGCTTTTCCACCTCCAACTCTACGGCGAGCTTTTCTTCTTCGCTCGACAGTAAATTGTAATTACGATTTACACGCAGCCGTTTAAATTTATTTAACATGCGCGCTTGATAACCAAACATACCATTCTTAGCATAATTTGGGTCATCAGGATTTGGACTTTCACCACTGCGTGTCACATATGCATGCATAAAAATAGAACCATTATTCATGATACTTGGCGTAGCTTTAATTTTTGTGCTGTGGTGATGAATGCCATCACGCTTCGGTCCAGATTTCCAATCACCATAAACTAGATCTTTTTGTAGCCATATCAAATTCGAACCTTGCTTGAAATTTATTTCATTTTCTATGGTTGACAGCCAAATATGCAAATCATAAATTTGACCGTTTTCAAAATAATTCCAAGCACTTATCTTTGGTTCCAAACTTTTTGTATTATTTGGATCGGTTGGTGGTGCTGGACGACGGAAAAATGAGCTTACAAAATAAATTATAATTGCGCGTGTTATAAACGACTTCGTCATTGCAAAAAATGATTCCATTTTTGTTGGTTGACGTTGCTGTTGTTGTTGTTGTTGCTGCTGCTGCTCATTGGGACCGGCAGCAACTTCATCCCCCGCCACAGCTGGAGCCGCCTAAATTTATATATTCACAATTTAATAAATCTTTCAAGAAAATATATATGTATATACATATATCTACATACAAATATAAATTAATTTTATTATTTGCATCAGTTTGTAATATGCATTTTTGTAAATATTTACCTCACCCCCGACCGATTCGGCATTTGGTTGTTGTGCGTCTTTTTCGGCCATGATATCTAAATTATTTTTTCAACTTTATTAAAATGAATGAAATGTTTTATGATTTTTTTTTATATGTGCATTTTTTTATAAAAAAATCTTTTAAAATCTTTTTTTGTCAATTAAAATAACTAACTATAATCTTTAAGACCATTAAATTTTAAACAAAAATTCAATGCAACTGTGATTTCTCTTCTTAAATTAATTATAAAATGATGTGGAAAAAATAATGAAACCAGGGTTGCACACAAACAAAAATTTACTACGTTTTAATGACAGAAGTTATGTCACATTAAAACATTTTTTACAGAAAATGTTACTAAATGTTATATACGAAAATATTTACTGCTACGGCCGTGTGCGAGTTCGAGTAAATTGAGGGAAAAAGTAAATAATGTCGTTATGGCAGCGAATGTTGGTATTTACCAGAATTTCAAGTAAGGTAAATTAGATAAAAATAAGATAAATTAGGTGTTACCATTGTGGAAATTTTATAAGATATTCAATAAGTAATAAATAAATTTGAAAACTTTTAACCAAAAATAATAAATAAGTGCAATAAACAACTAAATATATATTTACATAAGTGTAGTGTAAAAAATCACTAGGAATTTTCAATTTACTTTACCTCAATTTACTTGAACTCGCACACGGCCTACATATAAAAATTAATTAATATTAAAAAAGATACATCCGCTTGCAATAGTAGTTTCTTCCATGGTTTCCTGAAAAAATTGTGTATAGAATAGTATTATATATTGTGTATATCACAAAGTATACAGGTTTTAAAATTATGGAACAACTTCGATATTAATATATATATATATATGGTATATAAATTAGTTGATTTCTTGGGAAGAATGTCATATATAAATTTATTTGTTAAAAAATATGATTATTTTAAAATAATAAGAAAACCTTTAAATATTATGACTGAATTTTTATATGTGCACACAATCATAATTAATATCGATTTACTTTGCAATTATGATTGAATTATTATATGTTCGTACATCTATATATAATTTATTTATATTGATTTAGTTCGTAAATTATTTTAATTAATCATAATATAACTAAATTAGATATAAATAAAATATATATTGTTATAATTTACAGGTAATTCATATTCAAATAAAAATTTATCCAAATGCTTTTTCATATATATTTGCCTTTTCTAAATATAATACTTTTTTATGCTAGTCATATGTATATTTTTGTGCCACAGTAACCCTATGAAATTACATAAAATTTAATAAATACAAATCACATGTGACGATCTTATTCGCCACTTGTAGCAAAAATATATTCACCACTTGAATTAAAAATGCATGGTTGCATTGAAAACGTAATCACAAATGTTTGAATAAATTTCTTCTAAACAGAATTTTTTATATAAAAACAAAATATAAAATTTCATTTTATTTTTATTCTGAATTTTATATGATACAATTAATTTTTTTATTACAAATATCTATGAATTTATAATTATTGAATACATGAAGCAATTTTCGAAATCATAAATTATAGCAGTAACAATGTTTACGAGTCATCAGAAGAGACTATAATATTTGCAATTTATATTTGTTTTCATATAAGTAAAAAACCGAAAGATAAAAATGATTTCCGATAAAAAATCGATTGTTTAAGCTAAATGTCAAATGAAATTTCAATAGAAGAGATTTTTTTTCGAATTTATGATTTGTGATTTTTTGGTAACAAATATATACTTTTATCCTTTTATCATACCTAGCAACTTATTTATAACTTAGTTATAAATTTATAACAAGGAATACTTATTTATACAAGTTTTTTCTTATATAAATAAAAAAAAATTAAGCAAAAAAAAGTATGATATGAAAAAATTTTGTTCAATTTTCATTTCCAATATGGAAGCTTTGTATAAACTTTTTAATGGTTGCTTTTTATATTAATATATCAATTATATAACAATTTCATTTAATTTACGTGTATTGTTCACATTCAAATGCAATTAGAATTATTTTGTATTTAGAACTTTAAGGACCAGTTTTAGTGGGACCATGTTTAGTGACTGATTGGACATAACATTGACTATTGAGTTTAGGACGACATTTAAGACCCCAATAATGAGGACTATTAGTCATTAAAGGACTTAAGGACTATTAAACCAACAATTGATGTATGAAAATTTGGATACAAACACAATTTGAAATTTTTGTGACTTTGTTTTTAAATAAAGTTATAAATAAAATTAATTATTGATATTATTTAATATTTAAAAAATTGTCAGAAATGGTACTTGAATGGTATTAGTTTGGCAATCTGATTATAAAAGCGATTGTGTGAAAATAAAAAAAAAAATTGTGATGTTAAATACATCTCAATAATATTTTTATATTTATTTAATTAAATAAAATAAATAAAATAAAATAAAATATTTCAATTTTATCGTGTAAAGATTGGTGCTTCATTCTTGATTCATATTAAAAGTTTTGTAATTGTTAAAATTTTTAAGAGTTAAAAAAAACTCATATTTATCCCAACTTAAGTTATAGGAAAACTGGCTAATCTCACATCGCTCAACTGGCTCCAAATCAAATCACTGCAATATTTCACAACAAAAACACTTACTTGATTGCTGATTTCGTAAATGTAGTTGCGCAAAATATTCTCTTGATTTTCAATCCGTACACCTCCGATTTGCCGACCTTATCTGTTCGACAGATACTGAGCAATGAACACTGCTGGCATTTGAATGTGTTTACTAATACATCATTGAAATTTAAAAGTACACACTATATGTCATTGGCTACTGTATACTGTCTGTCCTTTTTTAGGGCTGGATACACTTTATAAAATTCGACCAGTAACTACACAATGGGTTAAGTATATAGATTACGCTTACATAATATATTTTAATTTACAGAAATTTTTATATAATACAATGCTTAATCGAATATGAAATTTTTTGCAAAACAAATACCATTTATTGTACCTAAAGGTATATATTACGATATGAATTCTGATAAAGGCTTACAAATCTAGTTGTACAATTCCGGATGCAGTTTGTACTTGAATTAATATGTGTACAAAATAAATTGGTTTTAGTATGAAATTAAATACACGAAGCAGCTGGGCGTCTACACTGGCTTAGCTTTGCAAGATTTTTAAGTTCGAATACTGTGTAGAAAAAATTTATACGTGTTAGTGAAAAAGTGAAACTATAAAAATGTAGACTCAGAGTAAAAATGAATAAAAAATTAGCTTTATTATATATTTATTATATATGTTTCCTTTTTATATTCTCCGGTATATGTGCAAATATATAACATAAACCCTTTCTGCATTCAACTATGAACAGCTATTTAATCTCAATTGCATAAAATTGCATTGAAATTAATACGGCGTCTACATTGTGTGATTAAAAGTAGATTAAAGCAAAAATCGAACTTAAAGTACCCACCTCGTTGTTAATCTCAGATTTCCCATATAAATGTTAATCTCCTTTTGGTTGAGATTAAATTTAAATCTCTTTCAAAATTATGATTATTTCTCTGTGCAACTCTGAAAATGTGTTAATGTCGTAGATTTTTTCACGATCTTAAAAAGAAATGTCAAAATCTATTCAAAACAAACATTGAAAATTTAAAATTTTCGTTTTGAAATTTCTATTAAATTTGTTGCATAATATTTTTATACATAATTAAATTTAAAATTTGTTGAATTATTATTATAAAACCATAACAATAATTAAAAAAATTGTAACAATAATTAACTAAATTACTGAAATTGTAATTAAATGCTTTGCACGAATGCTTACAGGAACCAAAACACAACAAGAGGAACCTCAAAATTAATCTCCAATATATAATGTAAACGGTTGAGATTAGAAATGCAGATTAACTTAATCTCGTACTCTTAATCTCACAATGTAAACGTAGTATAAGTTTTTCTCTACGTAATGCAGTTAGTAAATTCAATACCAATAAGTGTATTGTTTTTATTTTCTATTTTACATATAATACCAATATGTATTGTATATGTTTTGATTAACAATTGCAACCGCTGTTATAATACTGTAATTTTCGGATATGGCATTTTCTTACCTAAAGCAATTATTCCATAATTATGCAGTTCTAAATTTTTATTTCTAAACAGTTCTATAAGAAAAATATAAATTAGTGAATTAATTTTGAAACGTATTATACTCAAATATATGTTCTTCGCATCATATGAGAGTATTTATCATCAACACACATTCGCGCAGTCCAATCATTTTTACGCTCAGTAGCAATGTATTGGCAACGCAACAATTTGACAATAGATGTTCAACATACTAAAGTGAAACTCACCATTTGGGGAAATTTAGTTCATCTGACATTAGAGTCGAACGTTTCTTTTTCGTTTTGTGATTGGTATACGTTAGCACGTTTTACGAAGTGAGTTGTTAAAAAATTTAGGTTTGCTTAAAATAATTATTTAATGTATTTTTACAAAATGTGATTGAAAGTTAAATTTAATTTTGAATATGCAAATGATATTTCTTTTGCAAAAGTTTGGAAATTTGTTTAAGTGTGCAAAAAAGTATTGCCTTGTCGTGAGTTTCTAACCTTAAATGTGAAGTTTGCAACAAACATGGCGCACGGGGTGCTCCGCCTGATCTGCAAATTTCCAGATCAGACGGTGCACTAAATTTAAACAAATTTACAAAACAGTAAACGCTTTTAAGCAAAACTCATATATCACAATAGGCTAACGAAGCCTATACGAATTATATATGTTTAGTTTTTACGTGATATTTAACATAAACTAATTTATTATTTGTTTTTGTATGTGATTTTGCAGAAACCAACGCAAAATGCAGATATTCGTTAAAACTTTGACCGGCAAGACTATCACTTTGGAAGTTGAGCCTTCCGACACAATTGAAAATGTGAAGGCTAAAATCCAAGATAAGGAGGGCATTCCACCAGATCAACAACGTTTGATTTTCGCTGGCAAGCAACTTGAAGATGGACGCACCTTATCCGACTACAACATTCAAAAGGAGTCGACACTTCATTTGGTGTTGCGTTTACGTGGTGGTATCATTGAACCATCATTGCGTATCTTAGCACAAAAATACAATTGTGACAAAATGATTTGCCGTAAATGCTATGCACGCTTGCATCCACGTGCAACCAACTGCCGCAAGAAGAAGTGTGGACACACCAATAACTTGCGTCCAAAGAAGAAGTTGAAGTAGATTAATGAAATGCTTGGAAGAAGTATCATATTTTCTATATTGTTTAAATTCCAACAACAATAAACATAAAATGTAAATTAAAGTTTTTTTAATTACTGTTAAAAGAACAGTTGACAGCAACTGAAGATTATATGGGACTTCGAACAGGTATATTCCACAAATTCGTATTTTCGAAGTTGATATTTAGTGAATAAAGTTTTCTCATTTATTGCTTTTAAATGGTTGTCCAACATTCATGCAGTGCTCGGAGTTTTACGTTTAAACACTCGACATTAATTTTATTTATGTTATCTGCCATATTTAAGGATTAAAGTTATACCATAAAAAACGTGAACGTTTTATAATTGATATTTAGTGGTGGTATTTATATGATGTTTATATATGTATGATATATCTTCGACAGATATATCACTAAGCATCACTAATTATTGATTATCACACTGAGGAGCGGCCAGGTAGGTGTACGCCTTGGTGTCGCCGCTTTTTATACAATCAAGTGCCACCCAATCTTCCCGACAGGGACAAAAACAACAGGTGCTGGCTTATCATAACAGCAAATGCTATGTAGTTTACTACTTGGTAATTATTATTATATTATATATATAGTGAACCTTTTTAATCAATAATTAATTCCAAAAACAAATTTCTATATTTAATTACTTAAGTATTTGGCAAGTTTGTTCATCTAAGAAGTGACATAAAAGTTGTATTTCTGAATAACGAAGTTTCGTGCAGTATTTGGCACACCCAGCTAACAAATGGGCGTGTCATCCCTTCAAAAACTTAACAGTATGAAAGTAATAAGACTGTTTTGAAGCTTATAATTCATACAATTTATTCACGGACTAACAAACTTATGAATTGTTTCTAAAGACCACTGATTACCGATATTTGGCAAAATTTGGGCAAATATAACATTTTGTTGTTGCAATTCATTACTGTGTAACGAATTGTTATTGTTGTAGCTTACCGAGAGAAGGTGAACACGAGTATTAGTTTGTTTAATTATATATAACTCTTCACTATTACTATAGCAGTAATAGTATTCGGCTTGTTTAACATCTGGATATCGAGCTTTGTACATCACCTCTGTTACGCTCTGTTTAAAAAGATAAGGCATATACCGATATGCCTATAAGATTGGAAATGTTATTAATCTCTAAATTTAAGTTGGAATGGTAACCTTATAGTCAAAGTCCATTTTAGCTGAAACAATAGCTTGTTGTGATACCACAGACAATGTTGTGAACAACACAACGGTCGATATGAAAAGGGATTCCAAAAATTTGTACGCCTAACTAATTAAGGACGCTGACGCTGACATGCGGTGGAATACAATTTCCTGCTCATTCGTAGAGCCACAACCTCGAAAAAAGTCATTATAGGGTGGACACAGTCTCAAAACTTGTTTTTATAGCTGCAGTGACCAGTCAGCAACGATACCGTAGTGCTGAGAAGATTACGCCTAAGTTGAAGCAGCTAACTGGTACGTTTCTTGTCCAGTTTGGACCAAGTTGATCTTTAGATCTGACAGAAGGGTTCATCTACCTAATTTTGTTTACTGTTAATGTCTTAACCACTAACTAATTATATATAGAAGTCTAGTGCTATATGAAATGAATGGTTAGTGATTTCGAATGAAGCTTAAAAAATTCTTGCAAGTAAAAGCTTTTGCCACATTAAACGCAGTACATTAAAACTGATAATTCGGAGTTCGGAACGTATTCGAATTACTGGATTTATATTAGAAATCTAGAAAAAGATTAATATGTGTTTATATATTAATTTTAACAAACGAAACTGAATAACAAATGTATAATAACTCAATGCTTAAATTAAATTAATTCATATGTTGAATGACACATTCACATGATATATGATAAATTTTTATTCATTATATGGTATATAATTTTGTATAAGCAAATAATAAAGAAATTATATAGGCGAATAAATATATACTCGAGTATACACATAACCCATAACCCATAAATGTGATTTCTTTCATTAGATTGTCGAGCAGTCATGTCAATATGTGATCCGGACTACACAGTTAACATTTTTTAATTATGGCCGAAATATGAATTGCCGGAAATTTAGCGAAGTAAATATGTTTGGCGATCACCTATTCCATGTTGTTATTTTTGGGCGATCACCTATTCCATGTTGTTATTTTTGGGCGATCATATGAATTAAAATAATTCATAAATAATAGTATGGATAATAAGTATATTTTACAGCAAACAAGTCTTTGAAAAATAGATACCTTTAGTGAGATCATCTATTGGTAATTACATACTAGGATAAAGAAGAATTTCTCACTGATGAATTATCTCTCCCATTCTTAACAATTAATACAGCTCAAGTGGTGCCTGCCTTTATGATTATTTGAATTGATGGCAGTGAAGTATACGTAGGTATGAAGTAAGTACCTCTCTTTAATTAGAATGGTTAAAAGTCAGCAGCTATAAAAAAATGAAGGTGATGTCACTTAGAAAAGGAGTTGTGAGAAGACGATGCTCTACTCGTATGTATATTTAGTAAATATTAATAGAAGTCAATAAAAAACATAACCGGAAACAATCGAAGTTTGCTCTAA